GATCTCCGGCCACTACTCTACTGCAGATATGTAGATGATTGTTTCGTCGTCTTCTCTACGCAGGAGGAGATGGACAAATGGTTTGAATTATTGAACGAGCAGTCCGAGTACATAAAGTTCACCCGGGAGAAACCGAAAAGAAACTGCCTTCCGTTTTTGGACGTCCAAATAAACCTATCAAGTAGCGGTTACTTGACAAAGTGGAACCGAAAGCCAAGTAACAAGAACATCCTCGTTCACTTGCTTTCTTTCCACCCTTCACACACAAAGAGGGCGACTGTGAGAAACATGTTTCGAACAGCCACCTCTGTAGGCTCGGCAAATAGCCATCTCCAATGGCTACGAAATAGTAACCCCACGAGATAAGTTTACAAGGAGAACGACGCGCCCACTCGAAACACTTGGCCAAAAGAAAATCCCGTTTATGCTGCCCCTCATTAGCGATTAAGTAGGTGTAGCTATGAAACGATGCTTAAGAAGGGCAGCTCTAGAGGAATCAGTAGCGATAATTGAAGTACCACCGGCTACTCTACGTCACCAATTAGTTCGCAACCCCCTGTATGACCGTCTATGTGAAACAACAAATTGCGTAATTTGCCCTTACGGCACGGACGGTGATTGCATGAGTTCAGGAACGATATACCTGATCTCTAGCAATAATTGCGGAGATGAATATATTGGCGAAACGGGTAGAGCTTTGTGTATCCGTATAAAAGAACACCTAGATGGCAAACGAAAACTAAGACGAAGCATCCCACTAGGCACGCATAGGATACAAAAGGATATAGCCGAGACGATTTTGAAGTAAAAGTTAATATCCTTGCACAGGTGACTAAAACACCAGTGCGAAAACTTCTTGAGGCTTTTTGGATAAATGCCAAAAACCCTACAATGAATAGCAGGGATGAATGCCCAGAGGTCATACGCGATCTGACACCGTATGCTCCCATCAATTTCTGATGTGAGATGGTGCAGTCGTCAACCATATGCGACTGTAATCAGCTGTTCTAAACTTCCTCATTGGAAGTTACGAAAAAGCGGTGGGTTTTTTCGAGAAGCTGTTGATCATCTAATTACCATGGAGTTTTTCGTCCTTTTGTGTTATTGAAGCGTTTGGCCTAGTAGATTGTATATCAGCATACCCTTCCAGGCTCTGAAGAAGGCGATACTGCCGAAACGTCAGCTACTGCTGTATTGTATTGTGTTTCTCTATGGAAGTAAATGTATGCTGTTTAAAACCTCGCGATTGCTAAACAAGAAAACGACACATTCATATTCCAATGCCGAGGTTAAGAGAAAGTCGATCCTGGGGACTTAGTTAGAGATCATCTAGTAACATTTACTTAGAATTTCTTTTCTAAAAATAGATCGGTTTGCGATCATTGGTTTTCATTCCGTTAATATTTATTAAACGTAGTTTTTCTCCCCATTTCAGCCAAATCTGCTAAAGAGGTGCTTATTATTCTTTTTTAGCGCAAAGTAAATAATACTAATTCAGCTGTATGTAGTGGAGCTTCGACACAAAAAGGACACCTAAAACTGTCGTATAAAAGGAACTGAGAAACTAGCTTAACTCTTTTATTTACTGCCTTTTTTTTCTTCTTAATGGCAGGGTATGTTGTGAAATATAACTCGTATGAAATGCTGAGATATTTGCAAAACTCCGGACCACAGGTGTACGCAGTGGAGAACGAACACGCGCTGTTGTCCTTACCGGGGAGCAGCGCACTTCACCACTACACCATCCAGGTCCTTCGCTTTGCGCGTATCTCAGCTACTTCTATCGATCTTTTTTGCCATCAGCAATGAGAAACTAGCTTCATTTTCCTGAAACTTCCTGAGAATAATTTCATAACCGCATTGCACTTTTGGACAAGGATGCATAAAAAAGTTCAATAATCAAAAAAAGTCATAAAAATCGTCACCTTGAAGAAGTGAAGATCAAACCATTTGCAGTTCCGATGGTTGAGCATGCAACAAACAACGGCATACAGAATGCAAGCGGACCGAAAAATCTGTTGGCGAACAGCTGAAATTCACTCAAAACACTTTCACATAATCTTGGAGCCTATTAGGGTCCGTAAAATCAAGGACTACTTAGCAAGTCATTTCTTCCATGGCAAATCAACCAAATGTGAGCAAGTTCTGCAACCACCACGATTTGTATTAACTGATTATCCATGAGGTCCATCTGTCTCATTGTTTTCGATGAAGCGATCCGAACGGTGTAATCGAGCGATCTTTTGAAACTCGTATTGTTCACTTTCCATAAGTGACTTCATCCAATCACTGCCGCGTCATCGTCGTGTTACTTGAGTCATTTCGGTTGTTCCTTCTGGTGCGTAAAGTATTTGAATGAACGATAATCAAAAATTTAAAGTATGATCTTATTCTTCTCCTCTCCTTAGCAATAGGCTCGCTTATGATGACCATGTGCAAAGAACCATCTGTCTCTCTTGCAAAACCACTTGAGATCTTCTCAATATAAAACTCTATATAATCTTTCATTTTGGCTGTAGATAAGCAGCGATAGGTGATGAAACATTGATGGTGTATACGTGGACAAAGTCGGAATTAAATTACGTGGTTAAAAATTTTTGAGACTTTGGGCTAAACAATGTCCATGGATTCCTTCGTCACGGCTTTATAGCCGTTGGTTTGTGCACTTAAGTATGGCTAACGAAGATAAAACTGAGTTCAACGTCTCTATCCAAAATCGAATTAGAGTAACCCTATATTAGACACACCGCTGCCAACATAAAACAGACCACAAAACAAAAAACTTCTTGCGATCTATATTGACAGCTGATTGCACGACCTCATAACATCCGATTATTTCAAGATTATAGATGAAGAGCAAAAAAGAAAAAAGATGAAAGCAGTGCAGATAAAAAAGAATAAATGATAAAGCTCTCGGCGTTGACCATCCCTAAGATATGCGCCATGCATTCGATTTCATCAAGCATCGTTAGAGGCGATTGAATGTGCATGTGTACTATAACATTGAAAGAAAGACCACTTCCGATCTGTACGCCATTGTCACATAATGCTCTTATCAAATGTCGACGCGGGTTTCCCGACTAATCACAGGAAACGCAATCGTCTTGAAGGAATTCTATTGGCAATGGAGATGTCCCCTTCCATTCTCAAAGGTCTATGGCTCCCTTTGATGAAAATTTGAAAAAGTCCTGGGATTTCCATCTGGGAATTCTAGTGAAAAGCGTTATCACTCAACATTCGCCACTTTAGTGAGAACTTGTTAAGCCGCAGCTAATATGAACTAAGTGATTAACGTGAATGACGGCTGCAACAGAACAAATGAAGAACCCTTTTAGAGTGGACATCAAGTGAAAACAGGTCAAATATATCAAAAATGTGTAACACTAAGTCATGCGAGTTCCGAATGCCTCGAAGAATAAAACGTCATGGTTGGTTAACCTATGGCCAAAATTCCTCTAACCAAGGCAACAATGATTAGACAAACTTTTTAAACAAAGTGTGAAATCGCGAAGAATGAGATTCGGACATACCACTGCTACAGCCGGGCTCTCCAACATTTCATCCGGAGAAATACCGGTGTAAAGAGCGACATTGGTCAAGACATAGATGATGGTACATGTTGAAATCGAAATCGCAATTGCTAATGGAAGATTGCTAAACGGAAGTTGTTCTCTTCATCGAACGTTCTCAATAAAAAGCATAACAAAATTTAGATGCAAAAGAAAATTAGTGAATAAATATATCCTAAAGAAACAGAATATACAAAAAAATATTGATTTTTGTGAGTTCAGTAATGTACGTTGAATGAACAACCATATATTGTCTCAGAAAAACACTATTTGGTGGCTGTTCTTTTTTTTTTCTTGAAGAACGGGAAATTCTTCAGTCATAAAAAATCACAAACTCGGGAGAAAAAAAAAGAAATTGAAATACGGCGTGCTTTTCTTTTAAGCTGAAGACTTTGTTTTCGATCTTTTCGTAGGGAAACAATCATAGCACCGTTTAGGATTCTGTAGCTCTTCCACGATGAAATTCAGAAAATTCCATCCTGAATATGCAAATAGTCCTGAGTAAAATGCAATCGATATAGTAGAGAAATCACGAGATGTGTTTTCAAAGATGTTTTCGAACGATTCACGATATTCTGACTTTCCTAAACGACACAGACTTCCAGAGAGCAAAAAACGCAATGTAATTTTGAACTCTCAACACTACCTGTAAGTAGCAGCACCGTCCCGGTGCCGATGATCAGCAACAGTGCGAAGACCTTGGCAATCGTGAAGAAGTCTTGCACGAACGTCGCTACTCTTACCGATATACAATTAATTGCCGTCATGAGAACTGAAATCGGTGTTATCGAGAATAATGATGGGACACTCTACTCCTGATTCCTTCTTCAGAGTCTGTATTTTCCTAAACCATTTAATAGTCTACACGACTGGTCTCCAATGAACAACTGGAGGACTTAAGAACAATTGAACGGTTTTGAAGACGAATCCGCCGAAACATCATCCAGTATTGTACTGAATAAATCTTGCTGTTAACAATGTCGTGTTTGCTCATCAACAAAACAAGTTATTACTGATCAATGCTGAAGTTAGAAGAAAGTCGGTACTGGGATTTGCTGAATGAAACAATGGTACAATCCCATGTATTCACAAATTCGATCTTTCTTTTTGATTTTAACTAGCTCCAGAACTATATGTTATCAATAATTTTCAAAGCGACCATCATCTAACCTCGGTAGTGAAATAATCAACATGTGTATAAATTGTTGAGCTCAAATGAGGTTGGTAAAATAATTTTATCCAAGTAACACTTCGATGTATTCGTCTTCTTCAGAGCCGATGGTCCGAGTTCACACTTGTTCTTCTTCTCGTTGTGGCGTCTTCGTAATCGCACCGAGACGAATCTTCTGGTCAGTGGAACACCGTACGAAAAAATAATTTATCAACCTCGTGTAAGCTCAACAATTTATACATACGTGTTAACAACTCGGAGTGAGCTTTAGACTCTTTTATTTGTAGCGAGTCAATTTAGTTTTTCTACACTCCCCTAGTACAGTTCTAGAACAGCAATAACCAAGAATGAAAGTTCACGATTTAAAACTGAATGAAGACTGAAAATAGAACCGTAGTGAACTCACTAACCCTGTTTAGCAAAGGCGAGGTTGGAGTAGATGTTCATGCCGTTTTTCCTTTTGTTGTTCAATGGCTGTTGACATTTGGGCCACTTTGCCCTCCTTAGAGCTCTCGTGAACAACACCAGGTGGTCTAGCAGCACGGCTGTGAGGAGAAACATCAGCAGGCATAGAAGAACAACAGCAAAAACGACGTGAACATCTATACCAACCTTACGCCAAGTAAACAAGAAGAGTTTGTAAGAATATATATATATATATATATATATATATATATACAAGTCATTTTGCCCGATGTTCAACGAATGTCGATCTTCCGAGTAGTGTGCTCGGACATTCAATTCATGAAGAACACTTAATTAAGTTAAGTTGAATAACTCCTAGGTACGGCCTTTTATTGATTTCGATATTTGGAAGGTCTGTTTGTAATCAGGAAAAGATGAAACCTCTGCCGGTTATCACTGCCTAGGAAAATTCTGTACTACGGTCACCTGTCAGGAGCCAGCTGTCAAACGAACTAGTTAAGGCAAACTTTCTATTGTTCGCTTGTTCCCTTCTTAAAGACTTTAAACTTTAAGAGAAGGATAATCCTCTGAATATCTGATAGCACATCAGCTATCTACCTTTCTTTAATAGAAGGTGCTGATCCCCTCCGTGACTATCTACATATGTATCACAGAGACTATTAGAAATTTCATGGACGTTAGAGCAATTCGGAGCCGGACAACCCATGAAATATCGTCTTCTGATCACTATATTTGAATAATCACTATCGATAACTGACCAATCAAGAGAACAGCCAGCAGTTCAGGTACTCCGCTTGGTGGATCACAGTCTGGATAGAACGGTCGGAGGATGTAAATGGCAAATGTCAACGCCACAATTGTTACCGTACATGGCCTGGTGAAATAAACAATACTTCACTTAACTGACGGTAGCCTCATAGAGTTAAGAATCAAAAGAATTCAATCAGCAGTTGGTTGGTAAGAAGTGATGAACAATCTATAACCCGAAGAATCTTTTTCACAATACCAGAGCTGTATTATCCCCGTCGCCAACAATGAAGAAAAACACCCAAATGTTAAAATCAAGGACCACTGTCAATACAGACATGTGTGAAGAATGGAAAAAAACCGCGGAAAAAACTGTTGAAAACAGAATACACTGTAAAAGCTTTTCATCGAAAGTGTCCTATGCGTAACAGAATCTATTCATGAAGTCGCAATGATCAAGGAAACCGTAGATGGAAACAAATGTCCTCCACAGTAAATTTTATTCTCACTGCCAGCTGACCTCACTACAATCGCTTCGATCCATAGTCTTACAAACGCTGGAAACGGACCAAATGCCTCCATAATATATGCATAGTCGCCACCTGATTTCTTTATGAGAGTGCCTGGAAAAGAAATAATAATTTTTTTGAATCGAGGAGAAGCTTTCAATTTTTATAGCTACTTGTTTCAGTGAATTCATTAAACAACGTTCTTATTTCAGGAATACTTTAACACTGGAATGGCTATTCTTTACGAAGAATCTTACACAGCTTAGCTGTCTCCTTCTCTCACCCTCTGCTTCTCTCCCTCTCTCGTTCTCTGTGGAGCCTTAAGAAAGTCGTCCTAAGGTTATAACAAGGGAGACACTAGTCCATGTGGATCGAAATGAATTCCCATTCTCGCGACTAGGTCGCTACCAAAGTGACCGTGATTCTTCGTATTATTTTACTCGTAATCTGGATTACGGGTTGAAATGCTGAACTCCGTAGCTTTGAAGGCAATTTCGAAATAATGGACCTCATTGTAGATCGCTCTTCGACTTCCAGAAATATATCTCCGTCCATTCACGATAAAGCGGTATATCATTTGAGCCAGTTTAGAAACAAGAAACAAATCTTAGCCAAAGCATAGATATATTGGATCCATTCACCGCGACAGCTGTACTCTATGGAATACAAACTACTCTGGAAGAACTCAAAAGATCGACTTTCTATAAACCTCACCATAGTAATCGATATGTTTATACATATGTCCTTACGAACTTCCCTTTTTCAGCTGACGCGAAGTTGTTATAGGTGTGATTATTGTTGTTGTCGTTGTGAATGTTCAATGGCTGTTTCGGTGATTTCACCTTCCGCAGGGCCTGGACGTATCATATGTAACAGGAGCACAACAATTCGAGGAACTCCGTAATATTAATAGAGATCCAGCATATGAAAAGACGCCAATTTTCAAAAACCATCCACCGTGCCATTTGACCACACGTGTGTAGTTTTGATGGTGGTGCAACGCCATAATGGCTGGTTTTTGAAAATTAGATCTAGTTCACTGAATTGTTGGGCTACTGTTACATATGACACATCCAGGCTCTGAGGAAGGCGTAGTCGCCGACACATCAGGTCAGTCAGTCATTGAACAACGGCAACAACAACAATAAGAAGATCTATACCAACCAAGGAACATCTTAAAAAGAAAAATTCGTAAGGACGTATATATATATATATATATATATATGTATATATATAAACACTCCGGAAGAGAATGAACAATCGAAATTCTTTCATCTGATTTGATGCCACCAGAATAAAATCAACGCTTGCCGTTTACTCTTCCTTCTAGAACTATACCTAATATCAGCAAAGTCACTCATCAATAGTTAGTGTGTGTATATATATATACATATATATATATATACATATATATATATATATATATGTATAAATGAACCACGGATCTTCCTCACATGAGGGATCTCGAGCCCGTTAGCAGCCAGGCTACAAGCGCGTCCCCAGGTGGCGGATAGTGGGTTAAACGCGGACTAAAAGCGACGATTGTTTCCCTTAGACGCATGTGGATCCAGGAGATAGACACCCTGATTCTGCTGCGCCAATTCGGCAAATACTTTCTGTATTTACAAGGCGTATTCATGCATGCTTATGTGGGTACGATCTAGTTTATGCGGATTGTATTCTATGAGTCAATTCGGCCAATAGCCTGCAACCAAGTGACAGCGAAGTATATGGGAGGCGGTTAGGAGTCGCCTCCAACGAATAAGCTCCATGTTCACTCTGGGAGAGACTGGAAAACTAGCCATGAGTATACCAAGACCCCACGTTCAGAGCCTAGCAAGCTATACGTGGGTATCAAAACGCTAAACGCAGTAAAAAAAAAACGAGCCTCATTCACCGAACCCGAACGAGCTCTCGATTCGGCAGCGTTGGGAAGGGCAAGTATGAAGAGGCTGCTAAAATCTCAGAGCCATTCTAAGCTGCCTAAAACGCAACGAACTAATGTGACAATCTGTACTTACAATGCACGCACACTTGCATCCGAGTCCTCGATAGAAGACTTGATCTTGCAAGCGAGAAGTATGAGGTACGACGTCATCGGCCTGGCCGAGACGAGGCGACGCCACCCAACCAACGCCGTCTATGACACCGGAGTAGAATTGTTCCTCGGAACATGCGACAGTAGAGGAGTCGGCGGAGTCCGCGTTCTCGTCAACACGAGTTTGTCCATGAACATCGATTCATTCGAACAGCTTACAACCCGAATCGTACGTTTACGATTAAAAAGATGTGGATCAATACCGGCTTTGACAACCTTCGTCGTTTATGGGCCGAGATTAAACTATAACGAAGAAGAAGTCGAAGCGTTCAACATGGACTTGGAGAAGTTCTACAGAGAAGATCACGCATTCTTCAAAGTCATCGCTGGAGATTTTGACGCCAAGATTGAACCAAGAAGAACGTCTCAAGAACGTCACATTGGGACCACACGGATTAGAATAGAACGAACAGGATGAGCGGCTATCTGAGTTTATCATGGCGACCAAGACCATTCGTGGTAACTCGCAATTCCAGAAGCCCCACCCTCAATGCTGGTCGTGAGAGTCTCCGAATGGAGAGTACCACAACGAAAAGAGCACATCATAGTAAATAGAAGGTCTTGCCTAACCGATGTCGCTGTTGTCACAAAATTCTACACTTGATCAGACCACCATCTCTTTCCTGCAAGATTCTATTTCTCGCGGGAAAAGGAAAGAGCCGATAAATTCAGAAACTAAAGTCCCAGAACACCCGTAAACTGGGACTTACTCAATTCATTAATCGGCCGTTGGGAAGCCGCCGTTGTCGATAACATCGACGAAGAATAAGAATCGGCTCATTCAACGTCTTCACGTTAGTGCTATAAAAGCTGACAGTTCGAAAGTCACCAAGAGACGTCTGTCTCCAGAAACACTCGAGGTGACACACCAGCGTGGAATCGCATGAGCTGCAGGCAACCGCGAACTAGAGTCCGGGCTTGCAAAACAATGCAGACAGGCGATAAAAGAAGATCTTAAAGAGAGAATAGCAGCAGTAATGGTCGAAGCTGCAGTGGCTGGAAAACGCATTCGCAAAGCCCACCGAAGCTTCGCCAATTACAAGACCACTATTATTGTACTCTGTGCCCAAACGAAACAGTTACAGCGTCCAGAAAGGCAGTGGAAAAATCATTCGCGAATACTACTCAGATCTCTTCGATAGCCACGCCCACTTTCCGTTATATGAAATAAAGGACGATGGATATGTTGTACCACCGGTTCTTCCTTGCGAAATCCGACATGCCATTTCGTCGGTGAAAAATCGAAGTGCACGAGGTCCGGACAGTACAAGACCAGAACACCTGAAGAACCTTCCGCCAGCCCTCGTAAACTCACTGGCACGGCTCTTCACACGTTATCTGTCTGAATGCAAGGTCCCCACTCAGTGGAAGACCGGCAAGAGTGTGTTATTGTTCAAGAAGGGTGACATGCACGATATCGGCAATTATCGCCAAATTTGCTTACCGTCTGTCGTCTACAAACTTTTCACTCGAGTCATCCTAAACAGGATTGACGGAAGACTAGACGAAGGGCAACCATGTGGGCAAGCAGAGTTTCGAAAAGGATTTAGTACGATGGACCAAATCCACACAACGACAAGGCTCATTGAAGTATCGCGAGAGTACAAAAGACCTCTCTGACTCACTTTCATCGATTTACAGAAGGCCTTTGATTCAACTGAGATAGAAGCCCTTGATAGTCAGGGAGTTTCTACTCAGTACACAAGGATTCATCGTGAGCTGTACAAAAATTTTACAACTAAGTTAGCACCATTCTACAACGATATTAACATTGGCGTCAAAAGAGGATTTAGGCAAGGCGATATCATCTCGCTAAAATTAGTTACCCGCCACCCTCGAGAACGTCATGCGAACATTGGAATGGGATAATATTGAAGTGAAAATCAATGTCCGGCTATTACATCATGTTCGCTTTGCTGATAACGTCGTCCTTATAACACTAAACATTAGCCAAGCGGAACGTATGCTTGCCGACTTTGATAAAACCTGTGGAAAGAGTGGTCTTCGACTAAATTTCACAAAAACGATGTCCATGAAAAACGGATTGGTTTCGCATGCCCTATTTGCGCTCAAAGGAACAAATATCTCCGAATGCTCCAGTTATATCTACCTAGGTCGGAAAATCAATATGATGGACTATTTAGCTCTAGAGCTGAGCAGAAGGAAACGAGCGGCTTGGGGAGCTTTCAAGAGTATCGAGGATGTAGTGAAAAGAACAAAGAACACCCGACTTCGTGCCCACCTTTTCGACTCAACGGTACTTCCTGCGCTAACGTATGCGTCAGAAACCTGGTCTTTGCGTAAACAGGGTGAATAATCACTCAGTCTCATTGAACGCGTAGTCGAAAGGACGATGCTAGGAGTATCGCGTGTCACGCAAGTAAGGGAAGGGATCCGAAGCCCCGACGTCCGTCAACGATTAATAATCAAAGATACCGTCCTGTACCCTAAACAGTCGAAGATAAAGTGCGTTTGTAATGCATATAAATGACAACCAACGGTCAACAGCCGTTAGCAACTGGATTCCTCGTGATGTCAAACGCACTGCAGAAAGACCACCGGTCCAGAGTTCTTCACAAAGAGCCTTGAAGAAAGATATGATGCTCGAGGTGTCCCTAGAGCGAGCAGATCCAAACTGGGCTACTCTTGCACGTGACAGGGAAAAATGGAATATTTACTGGCGTGCGCTGGACTCATTCGACGATCAACAGGACTACAGGTGATACGGGTGATATAGCTAAAAAAGCCCAGAAATTTTGCTTGGCTTTCGTTTCGTATTTACCAAATCCACATCTCACTACTCAACTCCCACTCATTCTACCACTCTCCTGAGCCATACTTTCCTTGCTTCATCATCTCCACTTTTTTCTCAAAATCTTGTAATGCTCCTCTCAAGAACATTGATGAAGTGTCCTGATATGAATACACATTGTATATCCTCAAAAAAAAAAACAATGAGTTTTACAAATTCCTAAAAGATACACAAGAATGAAAGTTTTTCTCGGGATTTGTTGACTTCTTACCCAATTCAGCGTAACAGTAAGCCCCGATCGCTGTAAAAACACCGGAAGCCGTCCACACTATTAGCGACATACCAACGGAACCGGCTTCTGAAGAATTCTATAAAGTACTTTGATAACAACTGTATTATTACACAATTATGTCGTCTTTTGTGAAAATTAACGAAAGAGAAGACTAATACCGTTCAACTCTCCAAAGAATTTACGAGACACTGAACAAAATATTGAATCAACTTTTGATAGACAGTGAAATAAAATTTCCAGGGACAATACCAAAACATTGAGAATGGTGCTAAAATGTTAATCGAAGTCATTTGATTTTTTGCTGAACTGACCAAAGCTGTAAAAATTCACTATTTCATTGATGAATTCAGGGTGTCTGCCGCGCAGACGTAGTCATCGCTTCGATCCGTGCCAAGGAGCTGTTCTATCGTCGTTGTAGCATATAATATTTTTTCTAGGAAGAGGAGCAAAACACTGACTTGCTACATCGATAGCCGCAGGTAGGTCATCACACAGACCAATTATGCTCTTAATGTAACTTCCACGGAAGTGCAATGTTTCGGGGATCCCTCAGTGATTAATAAACGACGAAAACGTTTACGTTGGCCTTTGACGTTTGGCGTTTGGCCAAATTGCGTAATTTACGCTTACGGCGGGGACGGTGATTGCATGAGTTCAGGCACGATATACCTGATCTCTTGTAATAATTGCGGAGATCAATATATTGGCGAAACGGGCAGACTTTTGTGTATCCGTATAAATGAACACCTAGATGGCTAACGAAAAGTAGGTTTTAAGACGAAGCACCCCACTAGTCACGCACAGGATACAAAAGCATAGTGGAGACGATTTTGAAGTAAAAGTCAATATCCTTGCACAAGAGTCCAAAACACCAGCGCGAAAACTCCTTGAGGCTTTTTGGATAAATGCCGAAAACCCTACAATGAATAGCAGGGATGAATGCCCAGAGGTCATACACGAGTCGACGTCGTATGTTCGCATCAATTTCTGATGTGGGATGGTGCAGTCGTCAACCACATGCGACTATAATCAGCTGTTCTAAACTTTCTCATTGGAAGTCACCTAAAAAAAGCGGTGAGTTTTTCGAGCTGTTGATCATGTAATTACCATGGAGTTTTTCGTCTTTTTGTAAGTGTTATTGAAGCGTTTGACCTAGTAGATTGTATATCAGCATGCCCTTCCAGGCTCTGAAGAAGGCGATACTGCCGAAACGTCAGCTAGCGTTGTATTGTATTGTGTTTTTCTATGGAAGTAAATGTATGCTGTTTAAAAACCTCGCGACTGCTGAACAAGAATACGACGCATTTACGTTTTTTATTAATCCATTCAATAAATTTAGTGCACAAATTCAATGAGTCCGAGTATTCGCTGTTCATTTGCTCTAGGAATGGCTCATTTGCTTTAGAAGTGGAAGTGCGCATTCTCTCCGGCATGGTTCACCTGCCCCCTTACGTCGCTGGTGCACCACTGAGCACTGGAAACAGTTCTCAAATTGTCAATATGAGCGCGAAGACTTGAAGTTGTCAAATAGAACGAGGTCCCACTCTAAGAATTCCCCGTCTTCAAAATGGTCGCCTATATACAATGCTGTTAAAATATGCGTAGCAGGGTGGCCTTTCTGCACAAGTTACACACGCGAAGCAGTAATTGTGGGTTGTGTAAATGTCGTGTATCTAAAAACACGGGCTTGACTCCGAATTTGGCTATCATGTTGCCCGACTTCTTTGTGATTTGAATTTCATTATAAACTTTAGAGAAGAGAATATTGGTGGTCCTTCTTTACTAACGATTTTTCGGTCTCGTACAGTGACTGTGGAACGGCTGTGATTAATGCAGAATTTTTCTGTTATCGATTAAACAGGTCTTATATCACATTACAGCAGAGCAAATGCTTCATCATGGTAAAACTTTTCAGATGCCTGATAGATACATAAGAGTGAGATGAGCTGAGTGCTTTGAATCAGGTGAGAAAACAGTCCACACTTTCAACTTGAAATCAACGTATACTACACCGTACTAAGCTTTGTTAATTGTAGTATTAGGTCAACCTGAAACTAGCGTCCGGTTTCGACCTGAGTTTTTAAGGTGTCATATCTTAGCTCAGGATAAATACTTTACTAGTTTACACAAAAACCATTAAAATCTACACGCTTTTGCTAGCGAAAACAAGCTTATTTGTAATAGCTGCATAAAATTCTTGACTTCTGGACTCGAAAAGTTGCTTATAGGAAATTCGTCTTCAATTTGTTTTCTAAAGCATTTCTCAAATAGAAAGTCGTCGAGATGCTCGAAAAGGTGGTAGTCGGTAGGAGAGAGGTCTTGTGAGTGTGGCGTTCGAGGGAAAGTTTAGTATCACAGCTCGTTCAACTTCTCCAGCCACCACCATCCTGGTGTCAAACTAGTCGCATGGTGGCAATGAGCCACAAGAGCAGCACCGTCTATGGTGGTGGGGCAGACCTGGGGCAGACTTTGGCCAGGCTGTCCTCAGAACTCCAGGAAACCACAATGGTTAAACCATCTAGTCTCCGGTGAATGGAAATTGTGTTAGGGCTGATACAATTAGTAAAGACAGGTCATCCAAGCATCCAAGTATTTCTCTGCCGTACCACTAAATGATCAGTGAGACCTCTTGGTGCAATTTCGGCTTTAAAAACCTGCAGAGCTTCATCGCAGCCCGACTGCTGAATTGATAGTCACCGATTGTGTAGAGGATCCTCGAGAAATCATTCGATCTATTATGCAGAAGCGCCGACGAGGCCTGAAAATGGCCACCTAATTGGTGTATCCCCCATTTCCACTTTTACTTCTATTTTTGCATGAATCATCACATCCATTGTGCAGACCACAGAATTTTTTGCGTCTTCGTTTTCCTCGGATTCATCTTTCGTAATGGTTTTTGAACATTTCGTATGTTGTTCTAACTGGTGCTTGAGGATCCCAACCTTTCTATGAATGTCGTAAAATGCTGACCGCGTCAATTCTCTTTGGAATCTTGGAGATAGCCAAAGCGTTCGCACTTTAATTAGATGAGGGTTTTGAGAACGTGGTCGAAGGTGAAAGACTTTGCTTCCTGGTTCTCTGCATCACTTACCACTGCGCGATCCCCTGTCATTCGTCGAGCTTTTTCGGCGAGTTTCCAATTAACTTCAGATGCCCCGAAACAGTTGAGATGCTCAACAGTTCTTCTACAAGTTCTCAAATCGATGTGCATATATTTGCTTTCATTAAAGCCTTCAATTCATCGTCGCCAATAGTAGAGCGACGTTCACGATCTCCTCATTTTCAGCGTCAAGCGATACGGCAAAATTTCCCAATCCAACCTTGTACTATGCGTTCGTTATCAGTTCCTTGGCCACGTATCCCATTGATCCTCCGTCATATTTGCACTGTGCACCTTCTGCTTTGAATTCTTAAAAGTAAATTTGTCTAGTTTTAACATCCGAAATTCTAACATCTTAAACTTTTCAAAAACACGATTTGTAATGTAATTCAACTAAACGGTGCGAAAATACATAAAATGAGGTTTCCAATAATATGTAAAGGTTTAGTGTTTGAGATAAACAAAACCACTGTTAAGACACATACACGTAGATGAAGTCACAAATTGAACATCAATTTCCACGACCGACTTTCTATTAACTTCGACATTGATCAAATAATTCTTCGTATTCTTGTTGAGCAAACGCGAGGTATTACTTTTAAGTAAAACCTCGCGTTTGTTCAACAAGAATACGAAGATGAACGTCAATTTCCCACTATTCTAAAAAGACTTATGGAATTTGCAGATCTTTGTCAGCTAAACATTAGTCCTTTATTCTAGTAACATTATATTTTGAATTTCTGAAGTCCGCAAAAACTTAGCTCGGTTAGCACGGGGAATCGAAAAAAAAAACCACCCGCGTAATGAATGGCTGCTGTAACTAGCCACTGGGCTACACGTGCCGCTGAAAGAATATTACTGTGTTATAAGAAGCGCTTCGTGTTACCAAATAACACCTAGAGCAACTTCCCAATCTAAATTTTATAACAACTGAACACCAATGACGGTGCTGGATTGTAAGGATTTCGTCTCATTCCGTCAATGAAATTCGTTTCATAGTCTGTTCTTTAGACCAACACCAACAAGAAAATATATCTTGTACCATTGGCGATTTCAACGATTTTCATCATATCCTTCCTTTTCATCACTCTAGATAAAGACATGAACTAGTTCATAACGAAACCTCTGCCTTATTGGTCTTTGTCGATGTTCACAGAATTTTCTTATTTCAGTGTTGCAAAACTTTCTTGCCTTTCGAATCATTTCAAAATTAGAAATCATCCACTTTCACTCCTCTTTTGGCTGTTGTAAGATCGGCCACTCTATTGCTCATATTCGATCTTACGTTATTATACGTTTAATTCAATCTGAAAGATATTTTAATGGATTCTTAGTTATTCAGAGTACACTTTTCTGTCGAAAATCTATTAAATATTACCAGTTAGAGAGACAAGCTGAGAGATAGAGGCGAAACGAATGACCCGCGTGGTGTGGTGGTGAACACGTTACTCCTCGGAGAGGACAACAGCACGTTCGTTCCCCACCGCAGACACCTGCGGTCCGAAGTTTTGCAAATATCTCAGCATCGCTGTAGTTGTTTCACAGGTAATTTCTTTCACCTACTAAGAAAAATTATAATAGGCAGTAAATAAAAAGTTAACATTACCAGTTATTTTTCAAGGAGCATTCCAAACATTTCGAAAGGAGAAATGGCGATTTTCCAGCATTTAATCCGTTTGACCAGTATTCAGTAGTAAAGCTCGAAAGAGAGCATGTACCCCAGTAGAACTTCTTCAGCTCTATGGATAACTTTTTCTCAAACAATGAACAATGGAGTGAAACTCATAGGCTATGATGAGAACCTCGGGAAATGTTTTCCAAAGCGAAATTCTAATAAGAAACATTCCTATTTTCGTTCTGACGCATTATAAACACAGATTCATTCCGCATAAAGTCTTTCACTGTTGAAAGAAAAGCACGGACTGAGCTGTTTTTCCAGAAATGCATAGAATATGTGCTAAAGAACCTCGAGTTCGTACGTGACATCGTCAAAATTGACGAATTGCGTACGGGAAGACGGTTTTTCAGAAATTAGACGAATGAAAATCGGAGGTGGCAAAGACTATGATACATGTGGAATGTAGATATGACATATATGGAATGTAGAATCGTTTTTTAGATGATCGCCTCCAAATGTTGAAGAACCGCCAAAGTCGCGTGCCTTGGTGGTGTAGAAGACAAACCCAAGCTCGACTAAAGCGTCTGCCTCTCCCAGTATAGATCATCCAGAGAATTTGATTCGCGTAGACCTTTATATTAATCCAATTACCGTTATGTAGCAGATTCCAAGGCTGTACTACTAACAGTAGAGAACATAAATCGCTTCGGTATCGGCTCGACTGAGCTGTGGTTGTTCTGCCCAGAATTTGTTTCTCTTTTATTTACTTTTTCAAGTTTCTCCTCCTTTATGTGTAAGATTTGGACCTTTCTGGAATGTTCCATAGCTTGACCACACATTTTGTGAATAAGAGCTCTTTGAGTGGGAAAGAAAAAAGAGGAAAAGAAAAGTAGAATAAGTGAAATATAAGAAATAAACCATTTCTAAAGTGGTTTATTAGCTTTTGTGTTAATCCAATAGCTTCTACTAGATGAAGAGTGAACAATCTGTAATCTTTTTTTGCTCCAATTATGAAAAATATCAGACGATTCTAGCCATATATTATACCTTTCTTTGATTCTTTCACTACTTAACCTTTGACAAAGTTTTCTTAATACTAAGAACTTACGCTCTTGAACTCCCGTGGGTGAGACGAAAATTCCGGAACCGATTATGCATCCGACGATGATGGAGACACCACTGAAGAGTGTCAACGATTTCGCCAGACCTTTCTCGTTTTTTCCTTCGTCGTCCTCTCCATCCATCTATAATGACTAAAACCTGCGACAGCAAACAAATACCACAGAAGTATTAAAATTTCCAATAGAAAAACATTAAAATGTTACATCATTTCCATTTTTCTCCTTTTTCTGTCCCTAAAGCATGGTGCTTCTATGGGATACGGTTACCGCGTTACTTGAACTTAAGAACTGTAGAAAATTCTTTCCTACTTCATGGAAAATTTTGGTGATATAGGGAGGATTTTTTAAAGTAACATTGAGCTTAGTTCGCCATTAATTCTTCAAGTAGCCGGTAGCACAGCGGATGTGATGTCTGTTACCACGAGCATGGTGCTAGTTTGATTCCGCTCTAAGCCAACTAAGCCTCTCATCCCTCCGGGGTCGGGAGACTGGTGCCGGACTTGTCTGGGAAAAACCACTCTCTGCAATCCAAATGGGAAAGCACTAACCCGGCAATCTCACAACTCCAGAAAGAATTGCTCGATCAGCATTCTTTCACAGTAGTCGTGAAGATGGGTCATAAAAAACTATTATACCTCAGAGCAAACAAGAAAAAAAACAGAAGTTCTTTGTGACGATGATGAAAATTTATTCGTAGCTATTTCCTTAATCCTGCTTGGTGTTTCTTTGCTTATAATGCACTTTTAAGGCAAATATCTTTAAATCAGGTGCTTCATTTCGCTCGTATTTTGTTATTTTCAACTCTGAAGTTGGCTTATCCACACACCTCACATGGAAAAAGAGATGTCTTATGACGTCTAAGTTCACCCACTACTTACGGCTGATGTCGGGGCTTGCTTGATACATAAAGAAGTCCTAATGGAGTGCAGTTAACTAGCCGTACACGAAAAGGTTATTCTTTAATGGGTTTACAAGCAGAAAAAAAGATTACGCAAATGATTTGGTATGGATTTCACCCCGAAGAACGCAACAATCTCTTAAACGTGATAATCGTATGACAACTTAGTTGTCCTTCAAGTTGATTATTCTTCACAAAAGTATACACTAAATGCCATGTTCCAGTGAATTTGGTCACAGCTAACTGGTTGCCGAAAATTCGCGTAAGTGAGACGTGGACACGCAACCCACACACAAAAAAGCGCTACACCAACATCGAACGCATTCTGCAGTATTTTTTGACAGCTGGCTATAAAAGTGATTGGAGAAATTCCGCTCTAATCAGACAATCACATGGAGGACACAAAAATCAAGGTAAGGATTGTTTCACACGTATTTCATTTATTGACCGCGTTTTCTACGTATTTCCGTCGATCGTTCCATGTTGAGAGTTGCTCAGTATTTACTGAGAAACCTAATCACCTTATCTCTTCACATTCTTGAATGCGTTCACTTAAACAGGGCTAAGAATCTCAATCTAGTACTTCTATGTGGACAAATAGACCACGAAGCACCTTGCAGGTTTGAAATGATCTCGGTGAAGTTTATTTTCTCGTATTTTTCCGTTACCGGTTGAGAATACTTCTGTAACTTCTCCGTCCTGTACCATAACATAGACACAATTCAAACTGTAGGAAAAGACCACGGTTTCCTTCAAAAATTTTTGTTACGAAAGAACTGTTGAAACCATTTCGCTATTCCTTTGCAAAATATGTTTAAACTCTTTGTTTAAGTTCAGTGGAAAATGTTTTCACTAAAAATTCTACTCCCTAACAAAATCTGAAAATCTTTTCTAGTGCAAATCCTAGATGGGTTTTATGGTTTCGTTCTTCATTTTCTTTGACACTAACGCAGTAGCACTACTATAATCTACAATCCATTTGGTTTTCCAAGATTTTCATGTAGTTTTTCATTACCCCGGGAACTTTTGCAGTAATTTCTCGTCGCAATTGTATACCTCCACCTTCAAGTCCAGAATGCGACGATTCTCGTGCTGCTCAAAACTGACTTGTCTCCTTACGAAAACGTTAGTGACAATGAAAGATTGCTAAACAGTCTTGGTGCTGGCATATGCATTGTAGATCACCTAAATACAACATCTTGCACATAGCTATTTGTTAAGATGGGCGCGTGTGCAGCAGTGGCCGGAGGCGCTCTGCAACACATCACGCAAAATCGACCCCCGTGCCCATGACCCACCAAGTCTTCCATGAATTCAGGGTCGGCAAATTGGTACCAAACTTGTCTCGGAGGATAGCAGCACTGGCTTAATACATCGGTAGGCCACCGCGAGTCATTGTAAAGACAAGATATGCATTCAATCACCTCCAAACTATGGTCGATGAAGTCGAATGCATGGCGCATCCCTCAGGGATTGATCAACGCCGAGAGATTTATCCTTTATCCTTTTATTTGCTAAGGTCACAGAAAAAACAGTCAATATTGGTGTGAATCAGCACATTCCTTCACTTCTGACGAATTCCTGATATTGTAATGTTCACAGCTTGAGATGAACAGAATTCTTGCAACGCGGCGGTTTGAATTTCTTTCGATGACTCATAAACTCGACAACTATTCTATATGAACAGAAAACTTCGTCTGATGATTAATTTTCCGAGCATATACTTTGTAATTCCCACATTTGAGACACTGCCAAATTCATAAACTTAACGACAAACTTAAAAAAGTGTTAAGCTTAAAGGATTCATTGTTAGTCGTTCGATCAGAAAGCGCAGACAGTGTGTGAACAAAGAAGGAAAATTGCCAATGTAGCAGGATAGCACTAATTTCGCAACAAACATGATCTTTCTATAATCCCTAGTTTTTTCCTTCGAATTAGTTTTTCATCATAAATCTCTTCTGCAGGCCTATCGCATCGTCGGCTGTGTGACAATTATCTTGTCGGGTGTAGCTGTGTTGTCCGTCTGCGCTACACTTCCAATCTTCTATCTATACGTCTCTAATGTTAGAAAGACAATGGAATTCGAAATGGCAGTCTGCAGAAATAATGTGAAAACTGTCCTTGCTGATGCGGTTACCCTGCAAAGAAATCCTCACAATCGCACGATTCGTCAGAGCAGCTACGACACTACTACGATTGACCTCTGTGCTGAGTGTTGTCTTCCTGGACTGCCTGGTATTCAAGGTCCACCTGGAAAAGCAGGTATTCCGGGCAAGCCTGGGATTCCCGGTAGACCAGGTAGTCCTGGTCGGATACCACAGGTAAATCATAAGTGGCTAGTCAACCAATGTAATTTAAAAAAGTGAAAAAGAAAGTGAAACAAATTTGACATAAACTGAATCTAACCCTTAATTAATAACTGTTATTAAAAATGAAAACTAGCCGAAAAAATCTGTTTTGTAAAAATTTCAGGGTATATGTGAGCCCATTACACCACCGCCATGCCCACCATGTCCGCCAGGTCAACCAGGACCACCAGGGCCACCTGGACCCATTGGAAATGCTGGGCTGATAGGAGAACCAGGTCGCCCTGGAATTGAAGGTTCACTTGGACAGCCGGGTGAGAAAGGACCGCCCGGTATACCTGGACCACCAGGAAAACCAGGAGTAAACGGCGAGCCCGGATTAGGTGGTAAGCAAGAAGATCCGATTCCTGGAAAAAGAGGACCACCTGGTCAACCAGGACCACCTGGAATGCCTGGTAGTCCAGGGCACCCCGGAAAGGTGAGTTGGATTTACACCTCTTCGAGGTAGAAGTAATATAAAAAGTCAGCCTATTTTCGCTCCATTACACCGTAAAAATTTCAGGTAGGAGCTCCTGGATTAGATGGTCCAAAAGGTCCTCCAGGACCACCTGGAGTTCCAGGTTTGCCCGGAAAACCAGGTGTACCAGGAAGTCCAGGAGAACCAGGTAAAGAAGGAGAACGAGGAATCTGTCCTAAATACTGCGCACTTGATGGTGGTGTATTTTTTGATGGCATACCAACCTAGGAAAAAATCTTTTCAATATAGTAATAAATAAACATAGCGTGTTTCTTCTCGAAAATGTTCCCCATAATAAAGTACGTCATTTTCAAAATGTTTATCAACTTAAACAGTAAGAGGATTTTTTTGATACTCTGTTTGACCTGCATAAGCTCAATTATAACCTATTTCTTCCAATCCTGTCCGAGTGTGATTCATGTGTAAGATTTTCGTAAAAAATAAAGATTAATGACAACGATTTGAGCCATTCATTTCAAAGTGTCGAACAGTATGCTCGATTCGGTTGGATGAAAGATTGAAAAAATATGAAAACTTCTTCTTCCACACAACTAAACGTCTCGCAATTTACAGTTCCGTCTCGTATTAAATTCACTGTTATTAAACGACTTCTAAAACAACCTTTAAAATGAACATCACGAACTGTCGAGGAGGCAACGAGAATGCATACGTGAAGGAGAGTATACTGGACAGTATCCGTGCCCAAATCAGAAATTCTTGAACCCACTCGTACCTTCTTATATTTGACCACTATATTCTAAACAACAATAGTAAAATATTGAAATTCCTAACTTCTTGAATAATGGGAGTTTTCTTGCCGGTTGTTTTTTTTTTGCATTTACTTATAATTTTACATGACTCGTCGCCGCATCTATTCTCCGCATCACAGGATTTCTTGCATTCGATTCGTTCTACTCGCATTCATCTTCTACAAAGGTCTTCAAGTACTCGGTGTGTTATTTCAGCTGTTGAGGATTTCGCCTTCTTTTTATGAATGTCGTAGAATGGTAGCCGAGCCGATTCTCCTTGCAATCGTGAATATAACTAGGCTAAGGCATTCCCGAGCCAACACTTCATTTATGAAGAATAAAACATTAGGCGTTGACGAACCCTTTCACAAAGACCAACGAGTTCTCTTTGAATGTGGAGAAAGACCGTCACTTTTATAGCACAAGAGTGATGAATGAAAGGGAAGGAACAAAAGAGCATACTTTTTCCAATGATCAGCATTCAGGACATCGTTATACAAGTCTAATTTTTCCGGTACTACCATTTTTCCTTTAATCTATCTAGTAGAACTATTTTACTGACGTTCTAATGTGTGGGCATCATGCACGGTTCAGTCGGTAGCGCTCAATGAGTTATGTTAGCATACAACATAAAACGTATGGTGTTGATCAATCACTGAGGAGTGCCCCATGCTTTCGTCTCCATTAGGCATTTTAGAAATCGTCGAATGCTTATCTGGCCAATACAGTGAATTACGGTGGCCTACCGATATTGGAAGGCAGTGCTCTTATCCTCTCAGACAAATCTAATGTTAATTTTCAGACCCCGTAGGGATAACGGCTTTATTTATCAGGCTCGCCAAGTACAACCCACAACCACGCGTGTTATCTATGCCACTTGATAACACGGCTTTGATTAAATTAACAGATAATATTCAACCTTAGACACGCAAGTGGACATGTTTACACATAGACAGAAATTATAAGCCAATTCGTTTAAGCAGGCAGAAGAAACCAATGAATCCACATGCACTTCTAGACAAGTACACGCTCGCCCTTGATAATCATCGTCCCATGCGCCATTCATCCTCACAAGTAACAATTTTTTAGAAAAGACGAATTATTTGGAGAAGATTCATGAAAACTTGGGAAAGTTTGCGCATTGAAATACCTCTTGTGTTTATTTTTTTGTTGATTCTTCTACAAAATCTTCCAGGATAGTAATCGACCTGTCGTTCCATTATTGAAGATCGATCGCAGAACAGTAATGTTCGGAAGAACACATGCTATTATGAAGACGATATTACGAAGTTGTTTTTCAAAACGGTATGTGTAGCGCAGCGGCTAGGTTCGCTTTGCAACGTACGCTAGACCGCTTATTGGTTAGATCTCGTGCTCTAGTGTCACCAAGCCTTCCAATCGTCCGCGGTCGGAAAATCGGAACTGATTTATTTGGTATACCGGTAAGCCATCTTATCATTATATAAGCATAAATACGAATGTAAAACAAATGCTAAGAATGGACTTGAATGCATGGTGCACCTCTAAGGGATCAACGGTGAAGGCCTATCCTCATCATCTTAACAGTAAATACTAGGATTTCTTTACTGACGAAAACCTCGACAAAATACGAAGCTTAGGCTGTATTTATGACAACGCAATGTTATACACCTGTTCTTTTTTTGTTAAATTTCTGCACTTGTGTTATTCCTGTTCCAACTTAAATCGATTCCTACATTTAACGATCATTTATGGGACGCAGAAACCGCAGCGATTATAGATGACAGTATTTAACGGCATTCGTGAAGAACGCGGAGTTCTAAAGTGGTAACAAAAACCTCACATAACTCCGAAAACATTCGTGGGGAAACATATACAAGACAGTGATCAGAGAAAATGAAATCCTGGATTCGGCGCAATAAGTGAAGTATGGTCACGTGCAGAAATAAGGAGTGAAGGACTCGGTGTTGATCAGTTCTTGAGAGATACGCCTTGCATTCGACGTCACCAAGTATCGTTAAAGGTGATTGAATAAATATCCGACTCGTGCTGTGAAATGCGGTGGTCTACCAATGTGTGAATTTAGCGCTGCTATTCTACTAGATTATCTGGTTTCAATTTAGCGACTTCTGAGAGATTGAAGGCTTGATGAACACAGTGTTCTGAGCCGAACTAGTGATCCAGCGAATGCGTAGTGCAAGGCACCTCTGACCACTGCGCCTCATCAACATGGCTCGTGGTTGCATGAAGTAAAGACTGGTACAACCACAATGATGCTGAGATATTTGCAAAACTCCTGACCGCAGGTGTCTGCGATGGAGAACGAACGCGCTATTACCCTTTCCGGGGGCTAACCCGTTCACCACCATATCATCATGCGAGTCCTTCGTTTTGCCTGTCTTTCAGATAGTTATAGTGCTACTATTTATTCTAGATGAATGTCCCAATAGAAGCCAAGCCTTTCTAAGCATGACAACGATCGAGGTACTAACCTTAATTCTCGCTAAATCTGGAAAGACGTCACATTTCAAAAATGGAGACCGTTAGATATTATGTAGAATTGTTCTCAAAGCGAATTACTAACGAAAAGATCATTTCCATAAATATTTGCAGTCCTATCTAAGTAAATCTCTACAAAATTGGCAAGGTAAACAAATGTGCAATTGGGATCCACCATCATTTGGTTGCACAGTTTACAACGTTTCATTAATGAAATTTTTCTTCTTCCATAATCTGCATTTCTTTGTTGGCCGGAGTAGAACATTTATCAAATGTACTGTGGTTGGAGACGAAAACAGCGTCGTTGCATCAGGATCAACCAAATGATACCACATTCGATTCAAGGTCAATAGCCCGTTCCCTGTCATAAAATTTGAAGTGCATCTTCTTAACAAAGCCAACTACTTTCAAACTTGATGTAACAGAAAGAATGTCATCCATTGCCGGTTCTGGGTATCAGTTAAACTCCTCGAACTATGCGAATTTTAGGCAAGCTTCGTTGTAAAAACCACTGTCCTAGTTATGATTGATCCTTCAATAGGATAGTGAAGATCTTAAAACGAAGGATCAGTCAGGAAGACTTATGCAATCTGAATAGGAAGCGCTTCCATACTTGGACTTCAGTGTTGATCTTGTGCTATAGAATCACTCACTACCTTCCAGTTTCATATCCAGTAAGAGCTTCAAAAAGAAGAATAGATAATAAATCATCATGCTGGGTTTCTTCGCTTATGAATTCAAAATTATCAATTGGAAGTTATCAGACTACCATATAGGAAAGAATGACAATCATCAAATAAACAGCAAATGATATGATGATGATGATGGAAGTGATGACAACTTGTTGATTTGAGTTTCTATCGCCTAATCATCTTGACATAATACGCACTGTCAGAAAAATGTTTCATTCAAGTAGGAAAAAAATGATAGTCATAATGAGAGATGTAGATAAAGTTTCAGTGATGGTTGTCCACAAATTACCATGTATCTTACATTATTTTAGTGGTAAATTCTCACCATTTTCAAATTGAACTCTCCACTAATCTTGATGATTAATAGAAATTTTATGAGTATTTTTGAGCGGTAAGGCCCCGAAAACGTGGATTCCAATGAAATAACGAACAATTAGTTCGGACGTTTACAAAGTCGCTTAATACTGGTATCGCCATTGATGAATCGTCGCCTTCACCAATGCAGAGAGAAAACGATGGATCGTTTCCACTTGAAAGTGGTGAAGGTCGGCTCTAGCGACCATCAAGACAAGAGACAATGTCCATCATCAATCACTTTCGCACCTATCGACGCACTCTTGCTTGTATAATTCAGCACAAAACCTACCAACTTACGCGCTTCTGCTGCTCCATCTTGTGGCTGTTGCTGATCCTCCGTTGTCATGGTTACGCACACTGTAACATACAACAAGGTTTATATGGGCTGGTTAATCAGAAATCTAATAATCACGGCACAACGATTCACGGTCTGATAAAACAAGAATAACGCTAAAATCTAAAAAGTGGATATCTGTTTAAGAATATGAAAGCAATATATTTCAGCGATGCCTCATTTCAGATCCACATCAGTGTATTAATTCAAGCAAGCCGAGCAGACTGTACATATTTGATGCTATGTATTTGATCCAAGATGTTTGATTCAATACCAATTAGATCATGAATAGAACTCAACAAATTCCCACAAATAGGTATTTGAAGACAGGTTCAACAATGAAGACCGAATTTGAAAGCAGTCACTGAAATGCCATAATTTAGTCCAAGGTAATCTTATTAACCAAAATAAAAATGTTTAGAATGTACAGATCTTTTCCAATAACATGTGAATCTGTTCGCTTCGGTTGTTTAGAATACCGAAGTTCTAGACGCGACATACTCCTAAGAGCATTTTTAAAAGCATTTTGGTTGCTTAAGATTTTCGCAGCTGCTAGTTATTAACGTTCTTGAAAAAGACGATATTTCGTTAGCGAGGGATCATACGAGTATGGAGAAA